TAGGACATGCCTCCAGGCACACATCGGGCAAATGATCAATGCCTCAGGCTACGATAGACTGCCACCTTGCAGTCCATCTTTTACCGACGCACACGCCGTCAATATCTCGCAATAGTTGAGAATGAAATCAGATCAGTGTACCAGACAAGTCTACAAACCCATTCCGCCACGGACAAAGAGCTTAAGTGGAGCAATATATGTACGGGCTGAAGAGTTGTGAGGTCGAGGATGATAAATTGTGAGTGGCCCCATATCGCCTGATGTATACTGACATCTTTGGAACAGTCTTTGAACAGTCACCCGTCAAGTGCGTTACATTGTAACGACACAATGTGCACATACTCGCCATCCTCGAATGACGCATCCTTCCCGCGGGGAAGATCATCACTCGACATGAACATAGCAGTGGCAGACGAAAGTCTGTGGTATTAGGCTGCTCAGAAATCGGCGCGACTGCAGAACGCTTGATCAGCAGGATCAGAGTAGCAATCTCTTCGATGAATCCGAAAATGCGGCCAACCCATTTTGGCGAGAGACATGGGCTCCTTGTTTGAGCATACCATGTGAAGGGTATGTCGTCTCGACATTGACACGCGAGCTCGGCGGCATGCAATCAATTGCGGTGAAATGGCAGTTCCGCCATCGCCTCAAGGTCAAATGCCGACACCGAGTATCCCTCGCCAATCCCGACGACTTGGGAGTATCAGTGTCCAACTTTCAACCGAGAAGCCAATTATAAAGACCGCATTCACACTACAAATGGCTGGTCGGGTGATCAATGGCGTCCAATCTATATCCTAGGCACTCTTGGAGCCCTTGGTTTTCCCGCAAACCACATGAGCAGCTTTCATCATGTAGAGTGAAGCGGGGTTCATCACGAATATAGTCTGCCCTCAAGCCCAAATATTGAGCATTCGGTCTTTTGCCAGGCCAGGCTTTCCAAAGGATCACCTTGACGATTGGGCAGTCCCAAGATGAGATTTTTCACTTTGGGATTCTGCACTCGTCACCCATTCTCCAATCGCCCGTCAAAACGCTGATCCGTCATCGGATTAATGTGAGTCAAAAGTCCCTTTTCTGATCTGTGAGCTCACGTATCCCCAACAGAATTTGTCTCGGTGAAACCCAAAGCACGCCATCACCGCCGCAGGCATTTGACTGCTTTTTTCGGATATGTAGCTCGTTATAAAGTACGCGTTGTCGGTTTCTCGAACGAAGGGCATGCTGAAGAACATGCACACGAAGGACATGACTGCCACGGTTGTCTGGCTCAGGTCAGTGCCATGGCTGGACTTGGTCGGTCTTGAGTCAGCTTTGTTGGAGTTTTCTTGTGGGAGTTGGCTTGTGGGAATGGGCTCGTGGGATTTGGCTTGTGGGGTTTGGCTTGTGGGAGTTGGCTTGTGGGAATGGGCTCGTGGGATTTGGCTTGTGGGGTTTGGCTTGTGGGGTTTGGCTTGTGGGAGTTGGCTTGTGGGAATGGGCTCGTGGGAGTGGGCTCGTGGGCATTGATATGTGGAATTCGGCTCGTGGAAGTGGTTCGACTAGGACTAGGGGGAAGATACCTCTGCTCGAGGTATGCTTCATAGCCTTTCTTGTCGACTACAGCTCTGATATCAACTAAGAGAAAGAGAGAGAGGCCCAAAGCGATCTTGAAAGATTGACTAGAGCGAGCATTGATTGAGTCGAAACTTGGACACCGGCAGAGCAACTGCGTGGTCTGTAATATCTACCGGACTTCATCAGAGGATCAAACATAATGTAAAGCCGGGTGTTACAAGCGGTGAGATCCGATGTCGACTGACTTATTTCAAACAGCCACTGTCATGTGAAGACCAACTCCGCCGGACGTCGCGTAAACAACACTGCAACGCGCGTCTGGGACGGCCTCACCGCCTTTGTCGTCGCGTCAGACTGTGGACGGGAACGCCAGTCCAACCTCTCTCGCCTTGGAGACACCAGGCTGATTTCCATCCATGAGGGTGCGAGTGCCGACACCATTCGACATTCTTGCTCGACAAGCAGCTCAGCTTGCGAATGTTTATCATTCTTGGCGACCCTGCCTCCCTGCTGCGCGACCGACTATTACCGATCTACGTACACTGCAGTAGTCGAGCGAATATGCATTCCAGGCTGATCCAGTCGGCATTTGCGGTAACATGCAAGCAGATGCCGTCACCATGTCCTCGGTCCGGTCGAGAGAAGACGATACTCGAAACTTGAGTAAAGGTTCAACAAAGGGATTCATTTCATGCAATGAGAATCTTGATGGATGTGCTCTCTTCATGGGCTGATTGGACGTAACTATCAAGCGGCACGTATGACATTGCGCCCGCTGGTACTTGGTCTTTTGTCGGTGGAGCGACATGTCCAAGGGTGGGTGAGATGAAGCCACATCTGCCCAGCTATGCAGTGCAGTCTGCGAGCTCGGCAACTTTGGCTCAACCCAAGCCCTTCAGAAGCCTTCCGTACTGATCTTGTCAGTCGTTCTGAGGTCTGGGAGGTCTCAGATAACCAAATTCCGCCGTCCCTCCCAGTATCGGTCAAATTGCGGTTATGCTCGAGCTGTTCAAAGTGATTGGAGGTCTCGAAATGCTTGTGTCCTCTCAAACGGCTGTCACGTGACACGTGCTACGGCCCCGATGCTGCTGAAGAGAAGTCGATTTGAGCTTCCAAAAATCCATGCCCATTCTATTGGCGAATCGAAAATAACGGAGAATTCCGTACTCGGTGATATCGATTTTGCCCAGGAATTCAGTCTGCTAGGTGTGGGGATCTATGAAGAGGAAGCTAAGGCTACCCGTCGAACTGCCATGGCAGAACAAAGAAAAGGTCTTGCGTATTGGTGCTTGAAATCTAGCTCAGTTGCCTCTCATTCAGGTACAACAGTGGGAGTTGCGCTACAGTGATGTGGTGTGAGATGCGAGCTCGCCGTCTCTACCTTGCATCATGACGGCACGCGTCCACATCGCAGTCTTGAGCATCTAATTATGTAGCTATCTCTTTCATCCCGATGGGCAGCTTTGCGTCGCTGTGTAGCTGATGTCTTGCGATGCATTGCTCCCACAAGGCTTCGAATCACGCGTGAGCTGCTGACTCACGAAGCAAGACTGCAAGGCTCTTTCGTGGCATTCTCAAATGCTTTCATCTAGTTCTAAGACGAGTGCTCGTCATGCTGGGCAAAGTCTAGGCCGGTGATGCAGGGCTCTTTATGCTTTCGTCCTGCATGCTGCTTTTTCAACCGCCTGCGTAATTCCCTGATAACACTCGATGGTGTATCCTTTTCGTAGACTGATGACTGCTGTTTGTGAGACACATGCAGTAGACCGACTTGTTCGATGTCCGGGATGGTAGCCTTGTCAGTGTGTGGGACAGGGGAAGCTCGCAACGTAGACGTACACAAAGGATGTGAATAGTGTCATTTCATCGGATCTAGGGCTCACGCGCAGTGATGTGGGACTCAACGGTCGGGCTGCTGAGCATTAGTTTCATGTTTGTATCATACGTGGTCGACTTTGAATCAACTTGATCCCAATTGTCTCATGATGTGTCGCAGTCGTACTCAGAGGAGACTGGTGTAGACTTATTGGTCATATTTTTGTGAGACCGCTAGAAATCCCAGTCACGCATGCGATTTAGATGTCATACAGTAGTATACGTAGTGCTAAAAAAAATGTTGTTCGTTCATTGGAGGTGTCATATACTGTACACATGTGGTATATATATCGGGAAGTTTGAGCCGAGTGGATTCTTGGTGTAGATTACTGGGATTTTTGACGTGATGTAGCTTTCCGTCTGGAATATAATTATCGACCGTATGTCAAAACTCTGTTACTTGTCCGGGAGGACTTGACAACCACTGTTGGCCTATGAGAGAAATACAGTGCTGTGGGCGGGATCTTCCTCCAAGTCGGACGGAGCGTGCGCGAGGGAAGACACACCGCCTGAGCGCCTCACCCCGTTTGACAACAACGCGTCCAGACTCAGCTTTTTTGCCCATCGACGCATCGGCACCGTCATCATCGACAAATTGTCTTCAGTGCTGGCCACTATTTTCCAGGCTGGTCACGGTTTCAAGCTGGTCACGATTTCAAGCTGGTCACGGTTTCAAGCTGGTCACGATTTCAAGCTGGTCACGGTTTCAAGCTGGTCACGGTTTTTAAGCTGGTCACTGTTCATGAAGTCGTGCTCGATTGTTTACCAACGCTCATTCAACTGTTTGCATAGCATTTCAACTGTTAAAAAGCCGGTGAACTGTTTGGAAAGCCGGTCAACTGTTGAGGAAGCCGTTTAACCGTTTAGACAGCCGGCTCAACTGTTTACCAGAGCAGACTCAACTGTCTACACACGCTCATTCAACTGTTGATGAGAACAGTTCAACTATTTACCAGGCCCGGCTCAACTATTTATCAGAGCAGACTCAACTATTTACGCACGCTCATGCAACGGTTCACGACGCTCAGTCAACTATCACCGAAGCAGGCTGGTTGCCACCATGGACTATTGATCACCGCATCTACCCGTCACCACCAAAGCCAACCTCAACAGTCATCTTGGGTTTCCAGACTTCTGAGACACACGTGAATAATGCGTTCTTGCCCAAATGTGATGATCTTTGACCGAGCGACCAGCCTGGATGTGTGTGTATACATGCTCTACGTGTGTATACATCTTGTGAGATCGGATTCTGGACTTGATACTACAATGCACGGCGAATTCGGTAAGAGCAAAATTCTGGGTTTGTTCGTTCTCTATACAACGTTATCTAGAAGTGAAAACAGGCTCTGAATGCGCTCTCCTGGCCCTACTGCCAGTCTCTTCGCCCATGGCCTGAGCCTACACAAGTGAACTATCGATGTTGGCGCAGGTCTTGGCTTCTTCAACTGCAGAGCGAGAGTTGAATACTGGTCCCTAGCACCACGTAGAGGTGCCTGCACTTTGCTAGAGTCCCTTGGTGTCGCAGCTGTCCCCTGCGGAGCACTTGATTTCGCAGAGCATCGTACTGCGGAGTCCCTTGGTCTCGCAGCTGTCCCCTGCGGAGCACTTGGTTTCGCAGAGCATCGTACTGCGGAGTCCCTTGGTGTCGCAGCTGTCCCCTGCGGAGCACTTGATTTCGCAGAGCATCGTACTGCGGAGTCCCTTGGTCTCGCAGCTGTCCCCTGCGGAGCACTTGGTTTCGCAGAGCATCGTACTGCGGAGTCCCTTGGTGTCGCAGCTGTCCCCTGCGGAGCACTTGATTTCGCAGAGCATCGTACTGCGGAGTCCCTTGGTCTCGCAGCTGTCCCCTGCGGAGCACTTGGTTTCGCAGAGCATCGTACTGCGGAGTCCCTTGGTGTCGCAGCTGTCCCCTGCGGAGCACTTGATTTCGCAGAGCATCGTACTGCGGAGTCCCTTGGTGTCGCAGCTGTCCCCTGCGGAGCACTTGATTTCGCAGAGCATCGTACTGCGGAGTCCCTTGGTCTCGCAGCTGTCCCCTGCGGAGCACTTGATTTCGCAGAGCATCGTACTGCGGAGTCCCTTGGTCTCGCAGCTGTCCCCTGCGGAGAACTTGTTAACGCAGCGGTCTCCTGCGGGTCTCGATTGTCATCACAGCGTCCCCCTGCGGAGTTCACTTGGTAACGCAGCGCCCCCCTGCGAGGAACAGTTGATCACGCAGAGCCTATCCTGCGAGGCATATTGATAACGCAGACCTATCCTGCGGGGTAGTCTTGATCTCGCAGCACCCCCCTGCGAGGCATATTGATAACGCAGACCTATCCTGCGGGGTGGACTTGTTCTCGCAGCGCCCTCCTGCGAGGCATATTGATGACGCAGACCTATCCTGCGAAGCATGTTTGATAACGCAGAGCTTGTACTGCGGAGCCGTGGCCACGGAGACTCTCAAGCCTGCAGACAAGAGATGGAACCATGACACACGGGAGTGTGAGGAGGAAAGTCCTGATTTGTTTTGGGCCGGAAATCTCGCGCCTTTTATGCCAAATCGGCTACGTCTCTTCACAGATACCCCCTGCGCAAATCCATAGGAACGGCCACTAATTTGCGAGGGCATTGGAAAGTTACTTCGAAATCTTTGGCCAGGAGACACACCTCCCATGGATCCGTGGATGGCCTCGCGTTGTCAGGGGGGACCGCCCCTTGGTTCCATCAAACCGATCATCTAGACTGTTCATTTTCTGCGGTGGGTTACATTGGCGACTGGGTACCAGAATTGATGCAATGGATTCCATGGATACGATCGCTGTGGCAATGAAATTGCGTTACATTGCAAGTTGCGATAGATGTATTACAATACAATATTCAAAGAGGGCTAAACGCAATGGCCATGCAAGTGCAGTCATGGGTACTATTGCCATTAGTGTCGCGCATCGATCATGAGCAGCTGCAGCGCACGTTGTCCTTGTTTTCGCCAGACTCTGAGAAACCAAACAGTGGTATTCAGCAAGATGCACGAAGGACTGGACCTTAGACCAACCCACGTGCTATTGTGCTATTTAAGGTTTAAGGTGCCGGCCGATCATTTCGATCTCGCCGTCCCACTTTCCACCTCTCATATGCACTTTCTTCCTGACAATGCTTTGGCCATTGGTAAACTCCTGATGAGAAGGTAAACTTCGGATAAGGTCAATCAATTGCTACGAATACTACAAAGTATCGTCTTGTTCATCTCTGTTATCGACGCGCGTGGCAGGGCAAACTTGAGACTTCAGGAGTAACTTTCCATTTACCCTGGTAAGTACCCGGGCAAGACTTTGGCTGATCTGCGGGCCTTGCTCCTACCGCTCGAACTTACCGGCCACGGACCCGCTGCGCTCTTTCTAACAACCTTGATTGGTGAGGTGTCCGCAGTCCACCATGACTCACCCCAACACACCTGACCAATCAGGCGCCAGTCCGTTCTCAAGGAAGGCGTCGATCACTTTCTAGAATTGCCATGTGGCGCAAGACCCACTGTCGATGTAACATCCTGGACCAGGAGCCATGGAACTTCATCCTTGACCAGACTTACAAACTAGCTCTAGAAACTTGTCTTTATCTTCTCATTTGATATTGATAGCGAGCTAGTGTACATACGCTGCCCATAATATGTTCTCTGCAAGCGCATAGATAAGACACCTGATAGCTGGGAATAAAGTTATGTCTCAAGAACATTCTCAATTGCTAATGTATCATGGCCTGCCTGACCTAAATCTCTATCTCATAATTGCCCTTCGCACATGTTTGGAGCAGGAATGTGACTTGCATCGTGGCACGCGGGCTTAAGGCAACCGAGTTCTGACGGTCGCAAATTGCTTTCTCACTCGAGGTAACGCAGTGATTCCATCGACACCTCACATTTTTTGTTCAAACGAAGCCGAGTTACTCGATCAGCTCGATATTGAAAGTCTTCACGGCATGCGAAAGATTGGATTGACCCCTTGATCTCGATCGACCCTGACTTTGGACCGCGAGAGCAGACACTTGTGGATCTTGACGTTGTTGGGCTGATCGCAGGCATGGAGCTTCGCAGCCAACATGAGGGGCGTCTCTCCCAGATGATCGGGACAATCGACATCAATCAGCTCCCCTTTCGCAGGGCTTGCAACAGCATGAAGGTCTCCGTAGATCACAGCCAGGTGCAGGATGGTTTGGCCGCGGTGATCCTTCTGGTTGATTTTGGCCCGACGATCACGCAAGAGGATTTTCAAAATCTCATACTGTTGGTATTCCAAAGCCACCAGGAGTGGCTGCTGGACTTTTTGATCTTGACTTTAGAACTCAATATCTTTCTGACGGAGCAGCTGTCGTACGATTGAAACACTGCCTTGCGTGATAGCCATCGACAGCGCAGTCTGACCGTAAGCATTGCATTGAGAGGCACGAAGATTATCATACTCCAACAGAAGATCCACTGCCGCGTGATCCCCCGCTTGCACGGCAAGCATCAAGGGCGTGTGTCTTCCATGTATCGTGCTGATTTCCGTCGTGCACGTGCAGAGGTACTTTTGGAGCGCATCGGGCTGAGAATTGTTGCTCCAGTGGAGGGTTAGGGTAGGATAAAGCGAGTGACATGGTGGTGGTGAAGATAGATGTATTGGACGAGATATGAGGGGTGATGTGTAATTATGTTGAGAAACGTGAAACGAAGGCCTTGGGAGTTTCATTTTATATGCTAGCAAAATGATCAACCCCTAGTCGAGTAATTAGAGTCCATAGACTCGTCTTTTGTTCATAGCATTTCTGAGTTCAAATGCCGCACAGACAAATGCAGATCGTGAATGTTGCTTCACAGTATTTGTTTCCAGAGTTTGACATGCGCATTTCTTCGCTGATGCTCCTTAAAAAAATTTATCATGATGAGAAGACTTGGTAGCTAAAACCGTGAAATAAGTCGATGTTAAAAAGCAAAGTCTTATCCTAGAATCTGGTCATTTGTTCCTGGGACAATTTATGGCTTCATCTAGGATCAAGGGCTCTAGCCCCAGAGGCCAGGTACTATCTTCTGCGGGCGATTCTTTCATTTGACTTTCGCTGAGGTACTGTACTAGTAGAATCCCATTTTCGCGTGCTGAGTCACGAAGCTATAATTGACTGGGATTGAAGAAGACACAGAATATGTTGTCTCGTTTACATAGCCATTTCACAAACAGCCGGCTTGACGGAATGTTCATGTAACGGGTTATTAATTGATAACAGGTAAATATGCCTCATATGTCTCAATACATGACTGTTCGAATTTCTATCTCAATCCTGTAGAACCTCACACATTACTCATTATAGCCCATCTCCTTGGGTCTACTTACTGAGGTACGCGCGGACCGACTTCCCTCCAAAACCGACATCGTTCACCCCGTCCCCCTTCCCAGAAATTTGCATTGGCTAGGCGGAGGTGATTGACGACCCCCGGATCTTCACGAAGCCAATAAGCGAGATGTCCAGTGACATTTCTGTACAATAAGCTCCCTCCGGTTGTATTCAAGTCCATCATCATTGGGGAAGAAGAGTTCCACATCGGCCAAAGGATACGTCCATCGGTATTTTCAGGCACGATGGCGTCACTTGCATTGCCCTTGGCGTCCTGAATAGAGATCACTGGAGAGTCTTTGATAATGAAGCTTCCCAACATTTTCTGGAAAGCATGCCTTATGCCTTTTGTTGGTGTTGCTGTATCTACAGAGAAATAAGCTGTTAAGTCTGCACCGTGATATGCCGGAGTGACCGAGTACTGGTACTTCCAACTCTCTTTTGCGTTATTCCCGGAAAAAGCATCCACCAACCAGTAAGAAGGACAGACAAAGGATGTTTCAGCAAAAATGTTGAACACCGTCTGCTGGTAGCCGGTCGCAAACTCGGACTGATTCACCGCGGTGAGCCCACGGTCGCCAAGAGTGTCGTAGAAAGGACCAAACGGATCGGAAGAGGACGATGCGAACCCATAAATCTTCAATAAATGAGTTACGTCTGAGGCAATGAAACGCGGAAACGTGTCTTTCACATAGGCCTTGAAATCCGCAGTGGTCTCCACATACGGAAGACTCAGGGGAATACCGTCATTGGCATTATTCTGCGAGAAGTCAGCAACTTATAAATTGCTTGAGGCTCTCCCTACACGACATGAGTAGTGACTTACACCGGACAGAACGCGTTTGCCGCTGACTTGCTTTTCGAGAAGCTGCTTTGATGGAAGGTCTCGAATGAAATGTCCATCAATAACAGGCAAGAAAGCAAAGGTTCCCCCAGGCCCCCGAGGCCGAGACAGCCCCGCTGGCATTTTGTAAGGTGTTGGTGTCGGCGTTCCTCAAGCACGCAAATGTCTGCGCGTCAGCTCTTTTGTCGCCAGCAAGGCAGCCTGCTCGTCTTGCAAATGCTCGATAATATTTTGTCGGCACTTCGTCGTCATACCGATACTGAGTCGCAATGTAGGGGCTTGATGCGATGATCTTATTAAGTCAGAATTAGTTGGTCGATGTGAGATGTAGCTCAAGATACCACTGACATTGTTGAATAAATGGTCTTCTCGGCCACCATAAGTCATTGCTTGGAGAATTGCTGCGCCTGCCCCAGCTGACTCGCCGCCTATCGTGACCCGAAGTGGATCTCCACCAAATTGAGAGATGTGTGCCTGCACCCATTCAAGAGCGAGACGCATGTCCAGTAGGCCAACGTTTGTTTGACCGTATTCTGCCACATCTGCAGAAGAAAGGAAACCAAATGCGCCCAACCGATATTGAATCATGACTGAAATAAATCCATCGTCATTAGTGTTGATCCATCCACTTGGGTCGTGAACCGCCCCAGATAGACCATAGCCCCCACCATCTGTTTCACATTTTAGTCCGGTTGGGTTGGATGTTATAATCACGATGAATATGGGGAGGGGAATTAACTTACGAATCCAGACAAGAACGGGGAGATCCCGCGCACTTGGTGACGCGAAGACGTTCAGGTATAAGCAATCCTCGTCACCTAAGTCGGAATTAAATCCATAGACTTTAGGAAGCTGAGCGGCGCCTGATTGAGGACAGAGTGGCGGCTGATGAGTTGCACGAATGATAGTGGTCCGGTTGATAACAGGAGGCTGCGGAGCTTGCCATCGCATTCGTCCTACCGGAGGGGTCGCATATCGAATTCTGGCAACAAGCAGGGATGGGTCAGTGTTCTGTGGAATTCTTGAGATAAGCGTAATCAGCCACCTACCCCCAAAAAACATTCAGTCTCGACGTGCTGTTGTAATATCCTTGATATTGTGCGTACCCTAAATCAACCACAGGATTGTCTGCTTGTAGATGTGCTCCCAAGCAAGCTGTGGTACATATCAAAATCGTAAAAAGAGTGCTGCGGGGAGAAATGAATAAATTCATGCCGAAATTGCGCTGCCAATGACCCAAAAATAAGCAACAAAGATGCCAAAGAGAAACGTGCAAATTCAGAGGTAAAACTTCTGGGTGTTGCCGCTTTTATCTGACGCTGTGTGCCAAAAAACAGATTCGCCATTTTGCAACGCTGTCAACGTAGTACAAACATTCTCACCTATTTACGCAAAGCTGACTTTTGGTGAGAAAAAGTGTGATATGACTAGCGACCCAGGTCTAGGTGTTGACGTTGAAGCTCTTTGCTGAAATTAACTTTGTGTTGAGGTCAAATTGACGTTGAGGTTGAACCGCGCATGCTGCCTCAAAAAATCTACGCAAAAAAATTTACGGCAGAGATGGAGTTGATAAACGAAGACGGATGTCAAGTCTTCGTCTCTGCACTTGTGTATAAGAAGTTCACTTCCCTCATCGATAGAAGCTTTTCTTCACCCAGATGACCTGATGTTCCAAGTTTAATTCATTGGAAGTGCACGCCTGGAAATATGAGCGCCAGTAAGCAGAACCGCAGACCCCCTACCATATGGGTTAGTGAGGCACCGCCCCTTCAAGCTGATTCAAAGACTTGTACAACTGTCTCTGAGACATGTACGGTGAATCAAGCTTTCCCGAAACCTTTGAGAACCAAGGAGAAGACTGTAACGCTTGATACCGATAATTGTCGCTCGAGTTCGGGAGCCTTGCATGAAGATCCATGGAGAATGTTTGAGCCCATTGCAACTATCAAATTGGATCATCCATATGTGCTGGCTCGATACAAGGAACACAAAGGCAGACTTGTCCAAATTCGGAAAGTGGAGCTGCAAGCATTCTCCGACCTTGGATTACAACGGACGCTGAAACGCATCTCTCACCCCGTTTTTCGGTCCTTAATTGGATGCTATTATCATGGTGATTCGGTGTTTTTGGTCTGGGAGCATGTGGAACTGTCCGTCGCTTATATTCTGGCATCGATGCTCGTGATCACAGCGAGTGAGATCGTTGCAATTGTCAAGCCAGTAAGTGGAGATAACATGTTGTATCACAGCCATAGCGATCGCTGATTATGAATAGATACTCGAAGGAATCCAATATTTGGCTGAACGCGGGAGGGTGCTCGCCACTTTGACAATGAATACCATTTATTTCACTCAGTCGGGCATGGTCAAGATAGGTACGCATACCAGATTGACCCCAGGCTTCAGTCTTTAAGCTAATCGTTTATTTTACCAGTTGGTGTCGAAGACAGCTGCGAGATAGATGCTCCAGAAATGAATGCTGCGACAATGAAGCAGTCCGCTTTAGCGGATATTGTAATCAAGCTGATGGGAAAATGCCATCCGACGCATGAGTGGCCTGTCGAGATTGAAAATCTACCTGAACAGCTTGAAACATGCTCTTTGAAAAAGATATTGCAGGTGAGTTCCCCCCCCCCTTTCTTCAGCGTATCAAGGCTGATGTCCCAGACAACCCTCTTTCAGCAAAAGCTACACCCAGAAGAGTTGAAGTTGCTTGTCAATTTGACGAATAAAATCGTGCATCATCGAATCGAACCCCATTCTCATCGCGAATGAGAATATCATTTCCAATTCAACCCAGTCAACATGTCGATGAAAGGCAGATTGTTGCATGCAAAAGATGAGGAGCATGTATGGTTGCTAAGTAAGGACGGCAATGCCTATCGTAGTTGGTCCATCTGCCTTTCGATTTCTCTAGCGACAAGCTGCGTGCATTGCAATCATAATACAATTATTGAAAAGTTTCCGGTTCTGTTTCGGTTTCTAAGTAGCACGAGAGGATCAAACTTCCGACAATTGACGTAAAAGTCCAACTCTCAGTCCCTAGTCTACACAAAAGTCTGAAACTGTAATTGGTACGCCACGACACTTGAGAAGTCACTGTTAGTGGAAACGAAGTCTGGGGTATTAATTTTTCTAGTCGTAAGACAAGCTCAATCATAGAGCACATCTAATCAACGCGTCATCGTGTTCATACAAGTCTGAACGCTACACATTACTTTTTATTTGCAAGAACATTTGACGAGCATTTGGCCCTATTGTGAAGTTTCGAAGATAGACTAGTCATTCTGACGAATCCTGTCTGTTTTAGTTTGCAAATGGCTTTCAATATCAATCCAATCTTGACCTTTTGATGTAAGCACTTCAGCTCTTCTATCTTCATCTTAGGTTTCGCAGAGTGCATGGACTCTTTTGTGGCTGGTTTATTCTACTAAATCTGTTGCATCTTTTTAAATGAATTCTTGTCACCAAATTACCATTGCCAAAAGGCAGTTGTAATGCAGCAGAATATCGGACACAAAATTTGACACTTCAAAGAATCGCAAAAAGACGGTGATTCACCGAACATTCACGAACATTCCAACACGAAGATCCAGCGATGCTCTGCTCAGTCGATGACCTCCATGTGACACCACCTTATACGGTCTGACTGTGCCGCAATTGCCAAAGATAGGTATCATTGATGGCTTGCATTGCGGTGGGAAGCACGACAGGAGCAAGGTGACGGCTGAATTTTAACGGAAGAAGTGAGCGGGAAGTATGTAAAAGCCTTCCCAAGATTGCCATTTTGAAGATCAGGAACGATCGGGTTCATAGCTGCCGAATCACCAAATTCAGGACTTCCGGTGCATACTGATTGACCGTCGGGAAGAATATTACGCGCCAGACCATTGCGTTCAACAATTCTCCCGGGCTGAGGGAATCGGATATCCAAATTTTCAGGAGTCATACAGCCATTTATGTTTGCGATGAACATAGGTGGAAAATCCTGCGCTTGGTTCTGTATGCTCTGGTTGTATGAAGTCAATGAAGGGTTGTCGACGGTGATTGGTGCACAGTTCATGTACATCTCACGATCTCCAATACGATTGAACCATGTCCAGGCCAAGGTATATTTTCCGGAGGCAATGTTTTCAGGAATCGCGAAATCGAGTCGAATGTCATTGTCGGAACTGGCGTCTCCGCTTAGAAGTCCTTCTACATTTGCAGGACAGCCGCCTTCATAAGACTTGATGACCTTCCATATGCTTTCTTTGGATGGCGCGAGGTCTTCAGTGAGGCTCAACTGGCATGATCCGCCCCCATGAGTTGCACTTCCCATGAACCTCATTATGTTTGAAACACCGACCTCGTAAACAGTCTCTTTCGCAGGGGCCACAAATGCATCATCTCGTAATTTACAGGGAAAATCACTGCCGTTTGAAGCAAGAGGCGAGTTGTTGAGGATTTTATTGCTGTAACTGTACGGCTCAGGCGACATCATGATCAGATGTCCGCTGACTACCCGTGAGACGAGCGTCTCTAGCAGAAGACAGTATTCTATGCGCATTGTAAGGGTAGATAGTCGAGACGTCGTTTGTTATGGTCGAAGGATCTTCGAATGCCACGTGATGGATAATATCTCATGAAAATGTATAAGAGCTTAGCGGTAGCGATTAATTGAAAATAGTAGATATGCCGCAAGACATCACACCATTTATGTATGAGAAATCGTGAATGAAAGTTGATGCGATTCAAAATTTGTTGCTCGAGGCTCTTGTTTTCATTCACTACGACTTGAAACCGCTGACGACTGTTTATTTGAGATCAGCATTGATTGAGAGACCAAAATATTGACTGTTGAATCGAGTAATCTTGTTGGTCGATCGTTGATGAGCAAGCCTATCACGATAAAAGAGGTTTTGAGTTGATACAGGGCGTCACAATTCAAAGACACATTCTCAGCCATTGAACATGAATTTTTTTTTTTGAATATGACTTCTGATTCAGCTGTAAGTATCCAGCTCACCATTTGCATGAAACAAAAAAAAAACCAAGCATAAATCATGACTGCTACTTTAGAGAGCTGGTCACTTTGAAAAGACTGGATGGATTGCCTTTCTTTTGCCGATCCAAAAAAGCGAACAGGAGCGTGCATTATATTTTTCAAAGTCTCAACCATACGCTGTTGAGGGTTACTCAAATGCCTTGGGCAAAGCTAGCTTACAAAAGTCCATTGTTAGGGAATACACAAGTATTATAGAAGCGTTCTGTGCCGCAAGCTCTCAACGCTGCTTTGCCGTTTCTGGGGATCCCCTCCGGAAACGACAGGGAAGCCAAGAGACATTTTCTCAGTGAAGTCAGAATTAAGGTGAAAGGACTGGAAAGGGCCGAAACATGTATGTTCCAGGAGGTCACATGAAATCCAATAATGCTGTATGAGACTTGATTTGGTTTGGTTGTAAATAGCTATTATCTACGGGTACGACTTCATGTGAAAGATACAGGTAGCGTTTGCAGATGTAGATGACAACCAGCAATCTAACTTTGTGGAATTTCTAGGTGCTTGATGCCCATAAAAAGTAGCTAAAATCGAAGCTTTGAAGTCTGTAAGAGAGTTTCCTGTACTTTACACAGAGTAATGTAACGCAGTCGTAATGTAACATAGAGAAGTGACTATGGAAAGCGGTCTGTATGGCGGCTTTGAGGGCGGTCTTCCAGGCGGCAAGATCAAAGCGGTCCCCGAAGCGGCCATCGAGGCGGTCTTGTAGGCGGTCCCCGGTTCTTACAAACAGGGGAGCGGTCCCAAGAGCGGTCCCAAGAGCGGTTTCAAGAGCGGCATAAAAAGCGGCATAAAAAGCGGCAAAGTCGTCTCAGTGGCCGCCCATTCAAAAAATCGGCGCTGGTGGGAAGGACCAATGTTGAGAGGCCTCGGGAGTTTTGTAACATATGAATGATGGGGAGCGGTACAGTATACTTGACTGAACTGCATTCCTCGCCAAATTACTGTACCGATTTCAAGAATGTCTATGTACTATCAAACTCGCTATGAATGTCATCGGATCTGTTGTGATATGAGGCTGGTGCAGTCAGGAACCAAGCCGAACCATCGGAATTAATCCCGAAGTATGTATACGAAGAACCAAGTTGATTGGAAATCAACTTGATCTTCTCGTTGTATATATAGCCTCATGTTTCCCTCTGAATAAATATTACAAGATATACCCCTGAACTACAACAGGTTATGAGCCCGGGAGCAAACTCTCGGGTGCCATCTCTACTCATCTGAGAATTATCTTAACGTTAACCATCTTGATTATATATCTATCCCGCTTTCGCAATCATCACTATGTCTGCTCTGGTCCATGACTCTCCGGACCGAGCCGTCACAGCCATCGAGCCTCTGACAGGAAGCGATAAATACGCAACCTGGAAACGTCTCATGACCTCCTATTTAAAAGCCAGGCAGGTCTGGGATGTCGTGTCGGGCGACCTCCAGCGTCCTGATTGCTTATTCAAGTACGCCAAGCCTATTACGGCAGACATCCACCCCTTGGTGGAACCGCACCTCGCGGGGGCGGTGAGACAGCGCGCCATTGAGGCGCGCCTCGAAGTGGAGGTCCAGGCGTTCGAGCGCCACCGTGAATGGTCGCGCCGCGAAGCTGAGGCCTACCACACCATTTTCCGGTATCTGTCCCCCCACATTAGCATTCATGTCGCGGGACTTGAGACGTCTCGCGACCTCTGGAATGAACTTGAAGAACGGTACCGGCGAATGGAGCTCGCCACGTTCTGTGAGTTATTTGCGCAGCTTCGTGAAACCACTGGCGAGCGCTGCGGTAGTGCCCGCGAATTTGTCGATCGGGTACGGTTGCTCGTACATCGATTGAATGCTATCGTGCCCGGATCCATTGGCGATCGAACGCACATTGCGATCTTACTGACGCAGATCGGACCGGAATACATTCTAGTGGTGGATGCCATTCAAAATGACAAGGATCCGGTGAATCCGACCACGATCGGAAACCGTCTGTCTAATGCTGAGCAGACGGTTCGGAGAAAAGAAGCTCCAACCCCCTTGCAGGCAATGTCTGGCCCGTCCGTCAATACGGTGCAGCAGACTGCCAAGAAATGCAACTATTGCAAGAAGCGCGGCCATGTGGTCGCGCAGTGCTGGAAGAAACAGCGAGAAGCTCAGCCGTCCAGGGACCATGCCCCGAAGGCTGAGAGGAGTGTTTCCGGCTCACCAAGGAATAATTTGCAAATGATACCATCCAGCCAGATGGAAGATCGGCAGGGCCCGCCGACTTCCAAGAGACCGAGGATCAATATCGTGAGGGCGAGGGTGACGACCCTTTATACCCACGCACCGCAACCCCGGTGGATCCTGGACTCGGCCGCCACCAGCCACATCTGCTGGGACCGGAGCTGCTTCAGCAGTCTGCGGCCCCACCGCGAGATGTTGGACACGGCGGGCGATCCAGTGGAAGCCGAAGGGATTGGTACGGTGAAGCTCACCCTCCGGGGGAAGTTCAACCAACCCTTGGTGTTGAAGAACGTGTACTTCGCGCCGCGCGTCGGGATGAACCTGATCAGCGTGCCGAAGCTGTTGCGAGACCGCTACTCGGTGGTGGCGCACCCGCAGAACGTCTTTGTGCAACGCCGAGGACGAACCGTGGGGACCGCCTACCATGCGGAGGAGGATCTGTTGATCCTGCGGTGCCATGTGAGCAAGAGATCTCGAGAGCGAGTC